AATATAATAATCACAATAACATATTTTCATGCTCAGACAATTTGCTAAAGTTCAAGGTCAACCAACGGGTGTGGGTGTGAATTCTCCTCACTCTCTGTATGCGGGTGGGTGTGTGCGGGTGTGTGCGTGTGTGTGTGTGTGTGTGTGTGCTCATGATGAGCCTGCTTTGCACCGGGAATCGTTGATTGCAAACTGCAATTATATTATGGCCAACTAACTGGAAACGTAATGACTCAAGCATTAGGTCTGCGAGGCACTTAGATACTACATAAAAATAGAATCTTAATGTTATATTGATTTTCTCTACCTCTTCGGGCTCTTGATAGATTTTTAATTATTTAATATGATTTTACAGTTGCTGTAAATTAGTTCTAGAGAATCAACTAGACTCAAAATGTGCTATGAAAACAAATTATCAGCAGTATTTCTAAGAAAGTTGTCTTTACCGATTCGGTTAAATATATCTGCAAGTCAAATTCAAATGTTAAATCAAGAATATATTTTACATTTAGGATGAAATTTTCTATCCGTTGCAAAGAAATTCCTCAAATATGATTGCTTGCCATAAATGTGAATTACTTGAAATCGTTTCTCTATAAAAATATCTTTATATTTTCTATCCAATCCGAGGTAATCGTTTTGAAGAAATTGCAATTGCAATTGCAAAAGTTATTATTAAAATGAGCAAAATTTCTAGAAAATGTAACTTTTCATAACTGCCTCGTTTTGATAATAAAACATGGTTTGCTTAATGTGGAACAACAATAATGTAGAATTTTTCCTGCTTACAAGGTAAATTTGTACTTATTCCTTATAAAATTTGGTTAATGTTACTGGAATTTAAAACAAAGCTAAGCTATATTTAGCTTAAGGCAAAATTAACGATGTTTCTCTTAAAACAAAATGTTAATGTCAACATAGATTTAAGCTAATCAGTAAAGCTTTCGGCCAGAATAGAAACATATGGTTATTATGGCCATTTCATTTGGAACGGGTAGTTAGATTAGTGATAGAAAGAAACAGATCTAACCTACTGATAATGTTCTATGCAAACGGCTTTTAAAGCTTATTCGTATCATTTTTTCACACATATTTCACTTAGCTAATGTTTACAGGGTATCTGCTGGGCTAGCTTTCAGCTTTGTTCAGCTCTTAGGCAATTTGTGGAGCACACATTCGCACATAAACGAGTAATATTCATAATTTGAAGACATGGTCCTCTGTTCCACTGCGCTGCTCTCTTTTTCGCTTTGCGTGCTTGTGTGTGTTTCACTTTTCATTTCCCCCCAATTTTCATTTTTATTTTTTTTGTTTTTTTTTCTGTAGGTGCCTGCAATTTGGCTGATGTTTACATTTTTTTTTTTTGTATTTCATTTAATTTCCTCTTTGCAAATATCAGCGTCCGTCTCGCGAAAGATTTAATTTCTGACAGTTTTGCGTGTTTGTACAAAATGTTAAATTCTGCTCAGCGATTCCATGTGTGTGCGTGTGTGTGTGTGTGTGTGTGCGTGTTTTGTGTTTGCTTTTCTCACACTGGAAAAGTGTTTATTTAAAATAAGTTTGGCTGTATTGTGTGCGCGTGTGCGTATTCAAAATCGAGCACAAATTCATAATAATAATAATCAAACAAAAACTAAACTTTTACCTCGACCCCACGACCGCACACCCCGCTCTCACTGAGTGCCTCTCTCTCTGTCTCTCTCTCTCTCTCTGTCTCTGTCCCGCTTGAGATATTTATGCAATTTACGTAGGCATTAAATTTAAGCACTCGCCTTCACTTCCCATGCAAACATCTCATTAATTTAACGTGCCTGCAGCCATAAACAACGCCTTCAAGAGTTGAGCTAGATAAACTTTTCGATCCATTTGCTCAACTCCCAAGTTGATTGTTCTTCAATAGGTGCATTCACAGAATTGTTGCATATACACATATATTTTTAATCGAAAAACATTTCTGAACAATTACATTGCCAGCGCATTGAACTTATATTTCACAGCAAAACAAAACAAAAACCTCGAAACTAAACAATCTCCATGGCGCATTGTTAATTTATGGACAGCAGAGTCCAACATGTAAACGAGGCGCAACACGTTAAGTGTGCGCTACGGGTAAAGACCCTTTCGGTTTAGTCGACTCTATATATAGAACTGAACTTAATGGAGCTAACATTCGGAATGTGCTTAAACGGAAATTCCGTTTGATTGTCATAAATAGCGACAGCGCTCAAAGTTCCCGAAAGAGAACTGATATTTGCATTGTATTTTATTTGACTTTTATGGTTTTGGTTAATATTAGAAAAAGCTTTTCATTTTCTATTTTGCCAGATATCATGAAGTATACTAAGACATATATAGTTTCTTAGTTGTGGGAAAATAAACTAACACAAATTAACTCATTAAGCTCTAAAAGAATCTCGGCGAAAATTAATGAAAAAACTTAAACTTAAAAAGATATCGATTAAATCAAAACTATTTCGCATTTTCTTTTTTAAGTTTTCTCCAAGGAACTGCATATCTTTAATTAATGTTCTGCATAGATATATTTAAAATGGTTTTAAATATATGAATAAATTTATTTTTAAATTTTCGTTGAATTACGCTTTAAGTGTCATTATTAAAAAGAAATGTCATACTTAAAATACACTTTGTTTTATTTTTTTTTAATTAGCTTATATTTTATATTTTTTATTAGCATCTTAATCTGGCTATACGATAAGGGTATTCACTTACTTAACATTAATTATAAAGTCTTCTACGTTATTTTTATTGTTTGTTTTTAACTCAACTTCAACTTTATCCAAGTACACGGTTTGGGTGATCGTGGGGGGATCCTGTAAAGTATTCGTCGCGTTCTGCTGCAAATGCCTTCTTGCAGAGAGGCGGGCAATAAAGGAACCTTAAGATACCTTACTAGAGGTTTAGGTTGTACCAAGATGGCCCAGTACTTAAAAAGGCACTAATTTTTTTCCAAATGCGATTTTGCTGATGTTCCAAAGATTTGGATTGCATAGCGCACAACTAAAGCAAGTAGAGCTGTTATATTCACACATTTCTCCTTGTTTTCTTTAAGTTCGTAATTAAACACTTTAAATGTTGATACCTCAATGCCTTCTGTAAAGCGAAATTCATATTCATTTCGTGACCCACATTAAAGCTAGTTTCTTTTTAGCCTCTCTTCTGCATATTTCCAGCATTTTTTTATTATTTTAATTTCTTAAAATATTCTTAATATTCACTTTAAAAATCGTTTTACAATTATTATACCAAATCAATGTCGAATTTAATCCCCAAATTATTTACCAAAATCATGCAAAATTGTAAAACTTTAATGCCAATTAAATTCTAACTTTTATGCCAATTAATTTCCAATTTCACACAAACTAAGCTCCTACTAAATTCCAAATCCGTAGAAAAACAAATTAGAAAATTCTGCAGAATCTAATTTGTGGCAATAATTTTCCACACAGCTTAAATGCACAGCTTATCAACAAGTGCATGCAAACCAAAAACAGCCCACTCAATTATGAAAAAAGAGAAAAGAAAAACACGAAGAGGAAAATTCTGATGAAAAATGCAGAAAATTGTGCAGAGCGCGTGCAATGAAAGCAGCTAAAATTAGACACGAGCTGCAAACAAGCGTCAGAAGTTCGTGCCAAACGGGGGTTAAAACTGAAGCAAGTAAAAAATGTTCGTTAAACCAACAGAAAACCGTAAGCTGGACTCAACTAGAGCTATTTCGGGGCGTAGAGCACCTAAACTGACCAGAACCAGAATCAGATGCAACGGGCGCTACAATTAATCCTTTGTTTTGTCAGCGCAACTGTTGAGCTGCCCCACAGCCGGCAGCCAAGTCCGAGCTCAGAGCATAAGATGATTGCTCAATGCTGATGATGATTATGATGATAATGATGATCATGATAATGATAATCATTGTGACGTTGTGTATGTGTGTGTGTGTGTTGCGTGTGCTAAAGGCCATTAAGCTCTACTTGTATAATACAAAGCGCACACATTTAGAGCTCAACAACTACGAACTATGCACTTGTAATCTGTGTATAAATATTTATAACCCCCTCTCGCCACCCTCGCCCACTCCCCCACCACCATCCCCTCGCCCCTCGCCCCCCACCAGCAAGCCACTTGCCCTGCCCTGAGTGCCCGTTCTGCGTCACTGCACATAATCAGACGCCTTCTGTATTTTGCACTTTGCATCTTTGCCACACAGACTTGAGGCGATTTGCCATGGCAAAAAAAAATGAGCTCTTCAAACTATTTTGTTGGGGTATATTGATTTTGTGGTTAATTAGGGCATTACTATTATTTTTCATAAATATAGATTTATATAAAATGAGATTAAACAGTTTATCAAACCATCCGCTTTTTTAAAGCCTTAACGTTTTAAAGCTATTTTGATAAAACTATAAAGTATGTGCAGATAGCTTTTATGCCTTACGGGAGAATTGGTCTGAATTAAAGCCAGATTAAGCTATTGTGTAAAATATCATGAGAATTTCGACCACACACTGCAATTGATTTATCTATTTTTATTGTCTTATCTATTCGGTTTTGTTAGCCAAATTATGAGCCTAGCTTATAACCGTTGCCTCAATTCTTTTGCACAAGTGCAAGCAATTTTGTTGAACTAAGTTTCTTCTACCTACAAGTTTTGCTATAATTTGTCTATCCAACTTAGTTATATAGCTTAAATTGCAAATGTTTGGCAAAACTTGAGTTGAAGACTGTAAAATCACTCAAAATTTGGGGTTAATAGAAAGTTTAAAATATTTATGAATAAACATAAACTACTTTGAAGCCTTTCCAAATAAAATACATATAACATATATTTTTTACATGACAAATAACATTCGTAGACTTTTTCAAGATCAGCTCATTATAAAACTAGGGTATTTATTGCACGAATATAAACAACTTTTTAATAATTTGCTAGTGTCGTATCTTTCTAACATGTGTATCTTATCTCGTATCTTTCCTATTTGCAGGCGCCGGTGAATCGGGCAAAAGCACAATAGTCAAACAAATGAAAATCATTCACGAGAGCGGGTTCACTGCGGAGGACTTTAAACAATATCGACCGGTTGTTTACAGCAACACAATACAATCATTAGTTGCAATATTGCGAGCCATGCCAACTCTTAGTATTCAGTATAGCAATAACGAGCGGGAGGTAAGTGAACCAACATAAATGAAGCCATTTACTTGAATCCCTAACGTTGCATCTTTTGTTCAAATGTTTTCTTTTCTTGTCGTTTGCAGAGCGATGCGAAAATGGTGTTCGATGTGTGCCAACGCATGCACGATACCGAACCCTTCTCAGAGGAGCTGCTGGCCGCCATGAAGCGGCTCTGGCTTGATGCCGGCGTCCAGGAATGCTTCTCGCGCAGCAACGAATATCAATTGAATGATTCCGCTAAATAGTGAGTATCCATTTTTGAATAGATTATTGTGATTATTTATATGTGTGGATGTAAACCAAGCCAACATACTCATTCTATTATCGGCGGCTGTCACTTTTAGTTAACTTTAATCTGTGAGTTTCAAAATGTCTTTTCCTCTGGTAAAAGAATTTCAATGGAATTTCTATCAGACTTTTAAAACAGTTTTAATTGCAGTGGTTAGCTGCAACGCTCTAGTCGTTTATTCTCTTCAATTCTGCTTTGTCAGGCATTCGTAAACGTTTCTATTGCCTTGCATTCAAAATCTGTTAATGCATTCACACCTTTACTCTGACCTGTTAAGCTGTATAGTCTGTACATATTATACATATACGCTCTCGCTGCTTCTGAATTCTTCTTTCTACAGCATTCGTAAACGTTTTGCGTGCGCATAGAGACCTTAAATATACATTTCTTATAGTGTCTTTTTAATCGCATTGATTTCTCCTGAGTTTCTTTTGTGTGTGTGTCAAGCACAAACTTATTAACTGAATTGAATAATATTTATTGCTTCAAAGAAACGAAAGAAAATGTTGTCAAAGTAAATTTGACATTGCACATGACCTTGAACTTATTATACTTGCCCAGATGGGCAGCATAAAAACTTGCTTCAATCAATCTTGAATTCATCATAAGACTAAAACCTTTTATACATATATATATATATATATATCGCACATCAGACACATAATCTCAGTGAATAATCGTTTCCAAGACAATTTCTCTTTTCGCTGTTGTCTGTGTTCCATTTCCATTGCATTCCGCTCATGTTTATATGCATGATTAATGGATAAAAAGCGTTGCATACTTTTTGGCTCTTTATTGGCTACGACTTTTGGTTGCGTACAGTAAAACTAAATTGATGACTAACACGAATACATAAATATATACAAGCGCTTAGCGGCTGTCAAAGCTGAAAGATACACAGTTGCAGATACATTTGTATCTCAAGCCCATTTGCATAATTAGGAAAAAGAAAAACGCGTGACAGTTAAACCAAATGAAACACAAACAGCAGCAAAAAGTAATGCGTTCCGCTAAATATATCACACAGCCGCCGTGTTGTGTGGCAGCTGTGGCAGCTGCAAATCCTCAACGCCCCGTCATGCTACTCGTCGCGCGGTGTCAGTTTGAAATTTAACGGAGATTGCGGTATGTACGTGGAGTTGACGCGATAAATGAATTCGTCGGAATCATAGGAAACACGGTATTTGCGAAAGATCTGCAATAACGAGAGACAATTAAAATGTGCTCCTCAATCTCGTCTCAATTTCGTCCCTCACCTTGGCCAGCAACGTGTGCAGCTCGATTTCGGCAAAGCGTCGACCCACGCACATGCGACGCCCGTAGCCAAAGGGCAGGCTTACAAAGGGATGTATCTTCTGGCCGGCATGCGGGCAGCCTTCAGCTGAAATGCAACAGAAAAAAACCGTTACCACTAACGAGCACAACTCCCCTCCCCCCCTTTCACTCACCTGCGCCCTGTTTGAGCCAACGTTCGGGCAAAAAACGTTTCGGCTCGGGGAAATATGTTGGATCATTCGAGACAACCAGATGTGGGAAGATGACGTGCGTCTGCATTGCATGTTGGGGACCAAAAAGGTTATGTATTAACAATCAGTTATCGTTACGGCCACGCCTACTTACGCCCTTCGGCACATGGTAGCCGTTAATAACTGCATCCGCCTGCAGGTTGCGTCCATTCGCAATGACAACCGGTTTCATGCTGCAAGTATATATATATATATATATAAGTCGGATATTTATTTAATCTGCGTGGGTTGAGCTGTTGCACCTACCGCAGCGTCTCCTTGACGCAGGCCCGCATATAGGGCATCTGCTCAAGGACGTGCTGATTGATTTGCGCATCGCACGTTGGAAACACACGTTTCAGCTCCTCGAACAAACGCTGCTGCTTATCCGGATTCTTGGCCAATTGATAAATGGTCGACGAGGCCGCCACCGAGGTCTGCAAGTGAAACAGGGGGACAGTTGGGCGCATTAGGGCGTTGCCGATACATATATGTAGTATATATGGTATATTTCACAGTCTGCCAGTTAATTACCTAATGAGCTTTATTTATAGCCTGGCATTATACAAATAATGATTGTGTCATTCGATTATCTAGCATAGATTACGCTGGTATATACTTATATACATTGTCAGATATCAATGCTGTCATTATTTACAATGCTATGCATATGAAACAAGGCCTTAAGTGGAAAAAAAAACTATTCTATCTATTGATAACTCATGATATAGAAAATCCTTTTAAAGAGATATGTTGAATATATGTTGTACATAATGTGAGCAAAAAATGCATTATCGATTTCATAATTTATGTACAGAACAGGCAGAACAGAATTATATTATTCTAAGTATATAAATCTCTAGGATTATTTTGTGCTTATTTATTTTGTTATTGAAATTTTCATTTTTTATTTATTTTATGCGTTTTATTTCTTTTCTTTATATATTTATATTTTTATCTATTTGATATTCCTTTATTTAATACTTGGTACATTTTTTTTATATATTTTTATTTTTTATTTATTTGTATTAAACGTTAGCTTGTAGAATAAATTCACCTAGATTTTTGAGGCAAAGCGGCTTAAGGGGCTAAGGAAAGATTACATATTAAGATAAATTAGCTGATACTGATTTTGAAATTTTGCGAGAGATAATTTAAGATCAGATGGATTATATCTTTTATATTGATACTCCAAAGAAAATCTAGATTAAACTGAAAAATCAGCATTGAGTTTAGCTGATCAACTTGGATAAACTAGAAGCCTGTTCAGCATAACCACAAGGAAAGAAAGAAAGCATACTCAACTAATTCTACAAGGATTAGAAATTCGGTCGAATCGATCGAAAAAGTTTCAAGTTCGCAATGCAGAAAACGTTCGACAGATTCTCATCATATTGGCTGAAAAATGTGATTGGAATACTCGCCAAAAGAATATGTTAAGCCGTACAATCTAATAATTTGTAGTACCAAATAGTTTTGGCCTTGAGTGGCTTTTGCGGCAATTACTTACCGTATCGACGCCGACGAGAAACAGATCCAGGGCCAGGACAGCTGCCAATTTTCGATTGCCCGTTTTGCGCACGATGCGCTCCACTATGGAAATGTCCGCCTCGTTTTTAGGTACATTCTGTGCCTGGTCCGCGTCGGCCTTGTCCATGGTCTGGCTGATGTTCTTCATGCAAATGCTGCAGCGATAAATCAATCAAAAAAACAAACAAAAAAATGTCAAAAAAAAGATGGGTAGGCGTGTCTCAACCTACGCGGAAAACTGATCCAATGCGCGGACAAAACTGCGATAGGCTTTTGTGGGAAAGACGCGCCACAGTGGCATGCGCAGCTCCAGCTCCGGCACCGCCCAGAAGAACGTATTGATTGCCTCAATAATTTGTTGCGCCTCGGCGCTGCCCTCCGGCTTCAGGCAGCCGAGTCGTGTGTCCAGCGAGACGCGACCCACAGCTGCAGGGGATAAAGGAAGTATATAAGCTCTTGCCTTCTCATTTAGTTCAACTGTCGCGTAAGACAACATTTTCTTTGCTTACATTCGAGCGCCCATTTGTACAGTTCGTGCAAAAAGTTATCGGGCAGCTGCTGCTGCTCATTGCGCATCTCGCCTATGCTATATGGCAAACGGGCAGCAACGGGATTATATAATGAGGTGCCTGCCTATTATGTCATGCCAACTTACCGCACCATAAACTCGCTGGCTATATCATTCAGTGGGGGTATATATTTCTTGGCGGTTTGCGGTTGCAGCAAAATCTGTTGCACCTCCTGGCGAAAGGCCTCCCACTTGGGACCGTGCCTAATTGTGAGTGGATGGGAGGGTAAGTGGGCGGGTTGCAGGCTTTGCCAAATGCAACGTAATACTTACACGCCAATTAGACCAGCCACATCGCCAAAGAAGTCGCGCCGCAGCTCACCCTTGTAGTGTCGCAGCGATGGCATCGAGGGTCTGCCAAGTAGAAGAACCAGAAGATATATATATATATATAGGTATATATGTTTAGGCGGGCAATGCGGCGTATGCGCAATTTGATGCTTTTAAAGGACATGATGTCAAATAGGCGCACACACACATAGCACAGGTTGTTTTTAGCTCATGGCTCAGCCTTGCCTTTTGCCATAAACTTAACTCACATTACAATAGGAATTTCACATAGGAATTTCTCGCGTGCGACACATCAAACAAATAGAACAACAACAACAAGCCCGGCTAAAATGATGACTCGCAGATACATTTGTGTATCTTGTTGATGTTCGCGCTCATATTTGCATTATTGCGACGCTCGCATGTCGCCATATAAAACTGGTCGCATTTTATTTTGTTTTACGACTTCAACTGGCAAATACCGAAGCTCGCATTTTATATTAGGGTGTCACGATTAGTAGGGTGTAACTGCTGTATCTACTCGGCCTCTTTGTCTATTTGTCTTTTTTTTCTTCTGTGTGTTGTGTTGCCCCAGGCAACAATATTCAATTAAATGGCATAAAATAAAAGTCATGCGACTTTATTTACTTAGCCACTGTGCAATTTGCCCAAGCAAAGAACAAATACACACACACACGCATACGCATTAGGGGTATTCACTGCAGAGGAGCTATTTGAATATGTGTAGCTAAACCAACTTTCTTTACTATGCGCTTAACGATTGCAATCATATGTGTTTTATAGAAACTCGTAATGCTTAATCGTAACAGTTGTCTATTTTTTTACACATTTCTCTTTCTATTCATCACATTTGCTCAATGCTCGCTTTCTTAGCTAAGAATGTTGCCCGTGTTTAATCTTTTGCTATCTAAAATCATTTGTTGATTTTATATGAAATAATATTTTTATAAAAATGAATTTTTCATTTAAAAATTAAGATTTCTTCTGCACTATCACTTTTAGCCAGCTAAATATTCACACATCAAATGCATTTTTATTTTTATAGATTTCTAATTAATATTTGCGCTACAAAAACTCTTCATTTATTCAATTATTTTAAATTGTGTTGAATATTTGAACTCAATTCGTAGTTTGCCAGCCTATTGTTTCTACCAATAAATTTTACTTGTTATTTTTTTCGAATATTAAAAACCAGTTTCTAATACATTTTTTTCTATTTCGGAATTAAACAAGTTCTCTAAGCCGCTGCCCTCAAGGGTCAATCCTATCTTTGTTGACCAAAAATACTCTTAATTAATTTTGTAACTATTTAAATTTGAAGTAATGGCCTTTCTCCACTGGGCTTAAAAATGTCACATTTTCAAGTTTTACATATTGGTGTTCCACCGGTTTTCGGTAACATGTGAGTGGCAAAAGTACTGTTTCTTTAAATAAACAGCTGATCGAGTTGCTTTAATTTACATAAGCGACGCACAGATTTCCTTCCAAAAGTCAAATAATACGGCCCCGAAGTAGGGGCTCTGTTTAATTGACTCTTTGCGAGATTTGGCCAACTTTAAATGTTAAAAACGGTGGGATTATTAAAATTTAAAATTATAATTTAAAGTTACCGCTTGCCTTCGTTGCAATATCAGCTGGTTTATGTTTACATTTTTCACAACATCGATAGAAATCTCGATTAATCATCGCAAAATACACGAAAAGTTCGGGGCGAATTTACACATTTTTAAAAAATGTGACATTTTTAAAAATGTGTGAAATGTGTTTTCTTATGGGGAAACGTACAGGCCGCATTTTACACATCTTGCAAAAATGTGACATTTTCAGAAATGTGTTCAGTGGGCAGGAGGCTATAAGATATCAATGCGAAAGAGTATGATAATTTTATCGTTGAATGATTCAAGATGCGTAACAACTATGTCATAAATACTCTTTTAATTATAATTATGTGGTTTATAAGCAATCATGTCAAAGTCGTTCAGTTTAACTATATAATCGAAATAAATAGTCCATATTTACTAAATATGTTATCTGTTGATAGTTTGATAACAACACCGTATTTTATTATGCTTTTAAGTTTCTGCACACTTTCAAGTATAATTCTTACAGATACAATCGACTTAAATTGAAGTTTCTTTTCTAAAGAACAAAGTTTAACACGCACTTCAGACTTTCTGCCAGGCTGCCAAGGTAGAATATATTACTCAATACAACAGCTAACATATTTTCACAAAAAATATATTCGTATTGTAAATTGTTAGCATATGTAAAATGCATTTCATTTGCATGCAGATGTCGCTGCCGACCTCCGAAAGGTCGACAAAAACTTGAAAAGCGCTGCATTGCACATCTAAATGCAATAAATTATTGCATTTTGAAATTTTGTGCATAAATTGCGGCATATATGTTAAATTTATTATATTTTTGTGTGCGACAATTGTGTGGCAGAAGCCGACGTGAGTTAGATACAAAATTTGGAAATTGTAGGCCAACTAGTTGACCAACTACCGAATGTTGTTCCACACTCGGCAGACAACTTGTCTGTCAGCAACAAAAACAACGACAACATCTGTGAATCTAATCTTAAGTTTATGCGTTATTTTATTTTCTTTAACATTTTTCCCACACACACACAACCTTGTACTTTTTGTATGTTCGCGTTTAAAGTTATGCGAGACATAAAATACGAAAGGTTTTTACTTGTCTGCCTGTGGCCAGCCCACACGCAAAGTGTTGAGTGCTGGAATGTCTTCATCAGTCAGTCAGTCAGTCAGTCAGTCGGTCGTTTGGTCAATTTGCGCTTTGTTTGCGTTTGGTGTGTGTATATCAATCAATTAGCGCTGCGGCGTTCATCAATCTTTCAATCTTTAAACATTTGCTCACCTTAACGCATCGCGTCTATGTCAATTTATTGGCTATTCTCTATATTTCCATCTCCCTCTCTCTCTCTCGTGCGTCTACAACTTTTTAATGATGACTTGCCAATTTCAACGACCATGCTGACAATAAAAAAAAAGTTTACAAGTAACAAAATACAAAACATTTATTTCTTTCGGCTATTTTTTTCGCGCTCGCTTGAAGCTGTCGCGACGCCGCGTCTATTTGATGATTATTATTTGTATTTATATTTGGCTATACAAATCTTAACATAACTGGCACATAAATTGGTTCATGGCCAAATGGGAGAGCACAAAAATTAAACACACACAGACACACACAAAATGTTTTATAAAAGAAAGCTTAACAAGTTTGGCAAATCTTGGCTTTCTTTGGCGTACAGAAATACAGAAAAAAAAAGTAAAAGATAAAATTCATATTCATAAGCTACGAAAACCAAAATAGCTAACTATTTATTTCCATTGGCGGCACATTTTTTATTCAATTTTTTCTTCTTCTTTTCTTTAATTTTGCGCGTCTTGTGAAGCAGCTTTTTGCTTCAAAAAATCTTTCAGGCCTACAACTTGACTGAGTGAAAGTTTTTGTCTGTTTGTTTTTTTTGTTTTTGTTTTGCTTTAGGCTATGATAGCTGAATCGACATTTGTTTAATTTCGTTGAGGCCTTTAAATCAGCTGCCACACATTCTAATTGGCCAAATTGTGCACGTAATGTTGCCCAATGGCATTATAATTACGTATTAATTAACAAACAAAATGGCAGAGCCTAACAAAATCCTTTGCATTGGCCAACTAATTGCGCACTCGCCTCTCTGAGCAACTGTCATTCATGCCACACACACACACACACACACACACACACACACACACACACACACACACACACACACACACACACACACACACACACACACACACACACAGACAGACGCCTACATGCGTCAATAATTTAATTATGCATTTAATGCAATATGCGCATAAATAATAAACACATTTCTTCAGCTGCTCTCAGCTGTGCAAAGGCAAACCGAAAGGCAAATTAAAACACAGCACAAGGATATCATATGCGGACTGTGCATGTGTGTATTTGTGTGGGTATCTGTGTGTGTGTGTGTGTGTGTATCACAGTGGCTGCTGCTTAAGTGCAACGATGTGGCAAATTACACATGTCAATTAATGTGCATTCATTTAAGCCGACTTCTGCTGCAACTGAATTAGCTGCCGCATTTGAATTACCTTCATGGCATTAATATTTATGTAATGCCAACTGTACTCAATTGGAAAACATATATTAAGGCCCATTTTATGTCATACCATGTCATATCATGTCTCGTTGAATATCTCAGTCTCATTTATGATCAGTTGCTTTTAACATTTTTTGCTTAAATTTTTAATTTGTAAATGAAAATAGACTTTTGTTTTCCATTTAACTGTTCGTAAATGCTGCAAAATCCTTCTCAATGTCACAATTAGGCTTTGCGCTTGAAATTTTTTGTGAATTTCCTTGTAATTTGCCTTTTTTTTTAGCTCGCCAGTCACTTTAGATGGATCTAAGTGTTTTCCAGGGCCAATTTATTTTTATTTAACAGGCCAACTGCTTCTTCTTTATTTATTAGGTCAAGCATATTTCAGTTGATGCGTCAGTCTTCATTTACCTTTTCTTTGTTGTCCTTCATCTTTACATTTCACTTGATATTTTTTAAGGAACCATTTAAACTGCAGGTTAACATACAGGTTGTAAACATAACATGGATGTTATAAGTGTAATATGCTTGTTATAAATATAATGTGCATGTTATAAACACAACATGTATGTTATAGGCCATGTTTATGTTAAAAACGCTTCCAATGAATATCTCAGTTAGCCTTTACCCTCTTTCAATCTTCCTTTCTGTATTTTTAATAAATTAAAATCCTGCATGTTCCCATTTTTGCTATTATAAACCCACGTAAATTATTATTCAGAATTTTGCTAAATGTCCCTTTAAAAATTATAGCACCTAGCCAAGTTTGCATATGAAATATTAAACCCAGTTTAAAGTGCGCAATAATATCAGAGCACGTAAAATGTCGCTGCGCGGGCGGAAACGTCAGATTTTCCAATATGCACGTGTAAATCTTTTTGTTTACTGTCGACCCAAACACGCGCGTGGCATTCACGCCCAGCGCTGCTCACCTGTGCGGCATGGCCTCCTCCTTTTTGAATATATTGCGTATTTCGTCGCCATCGAACACAAACAAGAGATCCGGGTGTCCAATAAGACCGCCCACTTTGGCCATTTTGCCATAGTTGACATGCAGCTCGTGCATCACCTTGTCGAGGTCGCTTATTTTGTACGTGCCTGTGAAAATGATTTGTCTATGAGCAACAGGGTATTTGTGTGTGTGCTAGTGTGCTAATCCAAAAGTATAACTAACCAATTAGCGGCGCAAAGCGCCAGGAATTGCCAATCAATGGCAACGGATACGGGCCGGGCACCTCCGCATAGGGACGCACAGCGGGTGCAGTTGTTGCTGTTGCACCTATTGATGTTGTTGCTGCTGTGGCGCCTCTGCAAAGAGCGCGTTAGAGAGTGCGGCAACAAACTGCTTCCGAGAGATCTTACCTGTCAGCTGAAGTATTTATCCGCTGCTGCTGCTGCTGTTGCTTCTGTTGTTGTTGTCGCTGTCGCTGTAGCGCTCCAGACGCAATTGATTTTTCAATTTCCGTTGCCACACCCACACCATCATGGGGCAGTGCAGCACCAGCGGCTGCTTCAACCGCACCACCAGCGCCTCCGGCACCGGGCAGCAGCGTTGTCGTCGCCGAGTACGTTGTGCGCCTTATCAAAGCCGCCGTGGTTTTCCGTAAACTTGACATTTTCCGCAATCCTTTCAGTTGCTTGTCGTTGTTTGGTTCTTTTTGCTGATGGGCTAAAGTGTTGAAAAGTGTTGATATTTGTTGTTAAAGCAGTTGATAAAAAGTGTGAAACCTTTTAAAATACTTTAAAATACACTAAAAGCCATGAGTGCCTGAAGGCAGCACTTGAATTTATGAAAATCGCATAGAAAGGTTAGTTTTAAGAGAGGAAGAGAGCGCGTGACGGAGAGAGACAGAGAGCTTGTGTATGTGGAGAACTTTAAAGCAGTTGGAAAGCCCTTAAATCCGATTTAAAATGTAAATAAAGTAAACACGAACAAAGGCTTTAGTTGAATTCATGAAAATCGCATAGAAAGGTAAATTCTAGCAAAAAGTAAAATACCAAGAAAGACCTACTTTGTAAATATACCCACTAAATATAGACTAAAAATACCAAGTAAAATAAAATGCTCTTAATTTAATTCGGGAAAATCGCAAAAGGTAATTCGCTTTTGAGAGGGAAAAACTTTTTCCATTTTGTTTGTTTGTAAAGATATTTTCAGAACTGCACCTGTAAAGCGCAATTATGCTACAGTTTTGAAGACTGAAAATGAACTGTTTCGAGAAATGCACGAAAGCTAATTGGAATATAATTGGAATGTAAACTCATAATAGTTTGAATGGGGCATTTAAGGACCAACCAATTCTCAAATCTCTTGCAAGAGCCTAGGCTTGTTTTCTGCATGAGTAGAAGGACTCCATGGTTGGCGGGCAATCAAAGGTCTTATCATCTGGTCATTACATAACTCATAAAAGTAGACAAAACATTCCAACCGTATAGTCTATACCTTGGGGCATACAATTTTAACTGGTAATAGGAAGAAGGGGGAGGAAAAATAAAACTTTAACAAGTTTTTGCTCTTAGTGGCGCCCACTTGAAAAACAGTTGAGAACTGCCAAAGAGATTTCATGTAATTTTCAAATAAAAAACTAAATGTATTTTTCCATGTTTGTTGCGCAAAACTTGCTGTCACTTATTTCAGATGAGTTGGCATTATAATTTTTTATGCATTTTATAAAAACTTTAGAAGAGCGCAAAGTTTTTTGCAATTATGATAAATACAACTATTATACGCTGTATATAGGAGTGCAAACAAGGTAGCTTAGCTATGTGAATTAGCCGGGCACACAACAATTGTTAGAGTAAACAAAGAACTGGTGAGAACATCCATCATAATATTTATGTGCAAGTTTAGCGAGTAGAAAGAACTTCTTGTTTGAGCATTGGAAGCTGCCTCTGTTCGTTATGCAAACAACAAAAACAAAAAAACGTTGTTGAGATGTCAATATTTGAACAATTGAAGGTTAGGCTGAGTAAACAAAACATTTATGCATAATAGATGGCACATGCATAAATATATATGTTGTCATAAATGTGGGCTAAAACTAACTTTCAGCCAAGTGAAGACCTGACACGAGGCAAATTGTCAAAAGTCAAGACTTGAACTAGGGTTTCACACAAATGCAGCGCACTTAGTTGACGCAGCCAAGAGCGAAAGGCAAACAACGAACAATTTACTAAACCTATGCGATAATATGGCGGCAGCAGCAGAGACGAACTTAATATATGGCCTAAAAAAAAAAAACCAGGCAAATAAAAGCCCAAAGCAGTTTACATTTTGATTTTGCCAGAAGCCAAAAGTCTTTGCTCAAACTCAAATATGAGCTGAACAACGCGCATTGTTGAAGTTGTGCGTGCGTGCGTGTGTGTGTGTGTGTGTGTTGCCAATAAAATTCAAGTGGCTAACAAAAGCATTCAATATGTATATATATATACACAGATATGCGCGTCTATATACGTGTCTATACACTTCAAAGCGTGATTTGTGTGGCATGCTGCGTATGAGCAATATTGAGATATTGCTCATACGCCGCATGGCGCTGCCAAGCACAAAGCGCTGCCATTGTCGCTGCTCACACTCTCTCTTTCTCTCTCTCTCTCTGTCTCTCTGCGCCTGCTCCTAAGTTGCAACTTCTGTGCGCTGGTAATTTAAATCCCATTTGCCGCACACAATTTTTATGGCTCAATCTCTATGTGTATACACACAATCTTGGCATTATGCTTTAGCTTATATCCTTGCCCTTGCCTTGACAAGCGGCGACCTTCAGCTTCAGCTGCGACGTCCAGCACTTGAGCCACACAACACCACACACACACACACACACACACACACACACACACACACACGCACACACACACTAGCCCCTTATCGGGGCATGCCTCATAATGAACTTGAGTGATAATCCTTGCGCTCACCAAAAAAAAGAAGAAAAATGAAAAACGAAAGGAAAATCAAAATGTCAAGCAGCTTGCACAGCAATGGGTTTTCCTTCCAACAGCTGCTCAAGTGTCTTCTAAAGCGTTTTGTCTGCGCTGCGCTTGGCCGCAACTTGACTTTGACTTTGGCTAGCCAAAGCGCAAAGATTTAAATTGTTAAATTACCAAACGAATAAATAATCAAGGGTCTGGCCAACTGTTATGTGCACTGCAATGACATAGTTAAAGCTGACAATTTATGGCCCTGCAACGTAATATTAGACAATTATTCAAAGAAGGATTCTGGCTCGAGTTCTAGGATGATGTCTTGTCTTAGCTTAAGTCCATAGTTAACAGAAAGTAACATGAATAGTTTGCAGAATACTTTTGATAAGTTAAAATGCATTAAAACTTGTTATAAGCTTTAGAATTTGTCGGTTCTATATAAAAACTGCAGAGCAAGTTTTTTAAACTTTCTTTTGCCCAATGTTATTGTTATTGTTATTGTCATTAGCTTCTTTAATTGTTGCACTTTAAAATACGATTGTTTAAAAAAGTATAGAAAGTAAAAAAAAAGGTTGTAAAATTAACAGAATATTGTCACAGCTGAATATCGGGTACTTTTTGTTCAGTAGCTCGTAATTGGAAAAGGCTTTTGTGCATTTCATTTGATTTTATTATTTAAAGTCATTCACTAGTTAAATGAACAAGTATGAAATATATTTCCTTAATATAGTGAAAAAATCTGTGAAATATCTGAAGAGAGTTTTTAGCCCCAGTTTATAAATAATGTTATAATGAAGCTATAATTTAGACCTCAAACTTGTCTTCAAAATAATAAGTAATATGCACTTATTCAATTGCCAAAAATATCCTAAATTTCCATAACTGATTTCTCTCTCGCTCTTTCTGGTCTTTAAGAGTGTGTTCTACATAACTTCATTTTGAAGTTTGTTTGGGGACTGAAAGTTAAAGTCTTCACTCTTTCTACTCTTTTTTAACAAATCACAGCTCAACTCCCGCACACCCTCTAGTTGCATGCATTAGTGCCCCTCCTCCCCCAACCCTCTCCCTTTGCCCTGTTTTTCTGCCCATTGTTCTGACGGCTTCTCAAGGGGCCGTCTCGCACGACTGACAGCGAAATCGAAAATAGAAAACTTGTTTTGCGAGCAATTTGTAAACTGTTGCGCATTTGCGAATGCAGCTGACAAGCAATTCTATTTATTAGCGCCAAAATGTTAAATATTGAAAAACAAATTGCCAGCTCCGCCCCGCCCGCTCCGCACGGACACCCCTAAATTAGCCACAAGAAAGTTGCGGCTGCATAAATTATGTCATTTTCAAAGTATTTCAAATTTTGTGTTTCTTTTTTTTTTGTTGATTTTTATTTGTCGCCGCTTTTGTTTGCGGTTGCGTTTTCGATTTGGAGTTTTAATTTATTTGATTTGCCATTGCCACAGAGATTGTCGCGCAGCCAGCCAGCTGTCCCATGATTAAAGTCTATAAATCTATAAATTATGCGTTTCGAGGTGCGGCCCGGCCCGGCTGTGGCACGCCCATTAAAGTTTAGTCGCCTCGGCTGCGGCTGTTTGCTCTGCACTTGTCAAAGGCATTTTAAAGTTGGCTTTTAACTGCCTTTTCACGCTTCACTTGCAAACGGCGACTGATTTAAGCGCATTGCACTTTAACTAGTTTTGTTGTCGCTTTTTGGCCAAGTATTTGGGCCGGCTTGCCTTTACTAGTCTAAGACACGCGCTGTCAATGCTCGCAAAAATATTTGTCAGTTTTTATGAAACTCTTTTTTTTTTTCGATTTTTGGGCTAAAGCTATAAACATTTTTGCTATATATTTTGTTGAAATGAAACTCGGTTGCGGTTTTCTATTGTTGCTTGCCGACGCACACGAATATATATTTAACCATATAGCTTCACTCACTTGGCGGGGCACTTCCACATCCACTTCCACTTTAAACATCAGCGTCACGCGAGCGTGCAAACTTGTTGGCCAATAGAAACCGAAAGTCGTGCAACAACAGCCACAAACTCAGCTTCAAGCTCCGCTTGCTGCTGCCTGCTGTCTCGTAGAGCAAACGCGACGCACTAAACGCGATCGCAGCGCTTCTTAGTCTACTTATAGGATCGACCACAGCAGGGCAAAAGCAGCGCATCGCATCACTCAGTCCGCTCCGCTCCAGTCCGGCACGGCTCGGCTCGGCGCGGCGCGGCACGGCGGGGTTCGGGTCTACGTGCGCTATGCGGCAGCTAAGACAGCTCCAACTGGAGCTGTATGCGTGAGCAGTCCAGAGCTGGACTGCTGGCTTTTGTTAAATACTCTATGCTACAGGGTATTTAAATTTGATAAAGAAATTTGTTACACACATATATAAAAAATATTATTTTATTATATTTTATTTATATATGATCAAAATTGTCAGCTGAGATTATGTCAACAAACCGTTTAGCTTTAAAGAAATTCTATATTATTGAAACTTGGTAAAGATATATCCAAAACATATGCCTAAGTCAATCTGGGATCATTTCTGTCTACAAATAGCTAGTCTAACATTTTTAGAGCACAATTTAAATTTATTTGTTTATGTTATCTTCTTCAAAAAAATTAGAAAAACAAAAAATACCACAACAAACAATTTATAGCTGTCATAAATCGGATCGGAATTAAGTCGTAATACGAACAGATTTTTTACAGATACAATTTCCATTTAATATAATAAATATTTTAATTAATTATAAAAATTAAAATTCTACTCCAAATTAAATTATTTTGTAAATTAATAATTATTATTAATTTAAATTTAAATTAGCAACAAATATTTGATCAAACAACTTTCCCAGCAGCCATTTAATTTAAGGGTATTATCTAGTTGGCTTTGCAAAGCTGATCTTTTTTTATTGTGGAACTGATTTGTTGGTTTTATTGTTAAGATACGCCCGCTAATTGCTCTCTCACTCTCTTCGCTTCGTTTTATATCCTCTCTCTCTCTCTGTTGCTCTGGCCATTTGAAATTGAAAGTGTTTGCTGCTAATCAATCTTACTAAAAAGCAAAAGTTTTTTTTTGCGACGTTAATTCGCAGCGGTTATTTACACGCTTTAATTCATTTTAATCAATTTAATCTACCTTTTGTCGACTTTTTTCATCTTTTGTTTGTCTAGGCCTTAATGGCAGCCGTCGTTAGGAAATTGTCTAAAAAAAGCAAATATAGAAATTTGCATTAAAACTAACGACGCGTTTACCTAGACGCTTTGTCTCTGTCTCAAACGTTGTCTTCTCTCTCTCTCTCTCTCTCTCTCTCTCTCTCTCTCTGTCTGAAATTTTGCATTAAATTCACATAATGCACTGAGCCATAAAGCATATTAGTTCACTTCAACTAGTTAATGCGCTATGGGGTTGCTTGGTTTTTGCCAAGGCGAGACACTCAGCGCCATAAAACAAACGCTCTATAGTATTTTTCTTAAACCTGCATTGACACTTGCCCAAAAAGCTCAAAGAGTATTTCATTTTAAATTGTTTTTGTCCTCATAACTGAAACGACGAGCCATAAAGAGCATCAGTTAAAATATATTTTTATAATTGCAATATAATGAGTTAAAACTTATTCAAAACTAATTAAATTAACTGATTATCCGATGCTTATCTAAATAAATTAGTTTTTTAGCAAACATAAAATTATCTAAATACTTGTACATATATTCCAAATAATTTATTTTTCATTTGCTATACAAATTTATACGTGATTAACATAAAAGAAATCCAAATAAATTAAGAACCAGCGACCGGAAATGTAAAAATTAGTTTCAAGGCGTTGAATTAATAATTATAATATAACTATTATGATTTTTATTCGAAGAGTTTTTAATTTCCGATCATATTCTTTTTTATCGCAAATTTTATTAATTTATGTGAAAAAGTAACTTATTGTTTATTGATATAATTTTATGAGCAGAAATCTTCTTTAAGGACTTAAAACACAGAAAAGTTAAATCACATGTGCGACAAAGAGCTGTGACAGCGTTGCCAGACTTTTCAGTGCCGCGCTAAGTTGGCTGCGCCTCATCAATTTATAAAATGCAACTTACATTCGAAGTAATTCGTAATATTTCATTGCGTTTCATGAAATGTTGCAGCAAATCGTCATTATGTAAGCCCAGTATGTAAATGATGTAACATTTTTTTAACCACAGCCAGATTGTTAATGTTGTTGTACGTGTTAATAAAATACAATTAACACTAGAAAATTAACTAAAAATAATAAAATGTCTGTTATAAATATGTAATATTTCCAGTAGATTTGAATTTCTAGAAAGTGATATACATTTCTAGCTTTTATGAGTCTATGCTCTGTACAGACATCATTTACAGCTGGAACTTTTGGCCCCTTGAACCGCCTGTAGCCCAATTTATATTAGCCTTTTTTATGGCTCTCTTAACTGTCTTCACTCTCCCTCTCTTTCACACTGCACGCTGTAAGTGCTAACACGAATGCCTGACAGCATACTATGACGCAACTCGGAGACCCAAGCAAATGAGCATTGCCCGGATAAGATCGCGTCCGGAGATCATCTAATAGTGAAAATTGTGAATAACTTTTGATTAGCGTGTGCCGTATAAATGTTACAAATATTTACATTGGTCAGTCTTACGTATATGCAACTATTGCAGGCACGATATTTACTGATATGTATATAGAGGTATATTTGGAATATTATGCACTCAAATTTTCCACTTGAATTAGCGCTACTTGGCTTCTGGTTATGGCACAGATATTTAGAGCATGGCGAGCGTGACTTGGCCATTTTGCCCACCCTTGTTAAGTGTGCCGCGCTGTGTTGCATTTGCGCCAGCGTTGCCAGACTGTGCCACTTGCCAATGATCAATGGGGCGACAACAAAAGTTGGGCCACAAAGGTTGGGCAAGTCGCGCGTTAATTAAACACACACAGCTTACAGTTGGTCGCAAAAGTAATTGCCGCAACAACAAAAAGATTCACACAACAGACGCTAGAAGACGGGCAACTGGAAAACTTATTTACGACCCGCCTCAGAGACCTCTTTTTGTCTCTAGGTTACATGAACCTTACACCTGGCAGCAACAAATGGAATTCGTTTCTTATTTTTTCTTTCGGCTTTTGTTGTTGTTTTTTATCTTTTGCCAAATGTTGCGTGCGCTGCGTAAATTACTGCCAAGATCTGGACACTGACCTATTCAGCCTCGTCTCCGTCTTCTTCATTTCTCTTTTATCTAAATTTTTTTTTCTATTTGTATATTTTCTGTATCTGACCTACTTGTTGAAGCTGGTCGGAACACGCAACATTTGACTGATTGAGAGTCACAAATAAAGCTAATTATGTGCCCCTAAATAAAATACCATTGCGAAACTTGATGCCACAAGTGCCACACTCGCATCTAGAGTCATATTTGTATCTGGAAGATACATTTGTTTTTGAGCGTTTGTTACCACTTGTCGGCGTCTAAATTTATGCTACGTTTTAATTGTTTGCACAGCGCTTCGCCTGCGCCTCAAATTGTGTTTGCCCCGAAGCCGCCGACGTCGGAGCTGACTGCAGCAAGTCAAACATTTGTCGGCCTGCCCACCCCTGGCTCTAAACAACAACACCTCACCCTCTTCCCTTAACAAACAACAGCACTTCGCCTTGCTAATGATTGCGTGTCTGTTTGCTCTTTGCAGTTTCCTGGATGATTTGGATCGGTTAGGCGCCAAAGACTATCAGCCTACCGAGCAGGATATCTTGCGCACCCGAGTCAAGACAACCGGCATTGTCGAGGTTCATTTCTCCTTCAAAAATCTCAACTTCAAGTAAGTAAAACGACAGGCATAACACAAATGGCTATAAAAGCTAATCGGTACTTTTTATAACAATTAAACTAGCAAAATTGCGGAATTGATTTTTATTTATTTATTAAATTAATATATATTTAAAATAGAAAATCCAATCATTTTTCAATACTGATTAAAGCCAGCAACCCATTTTTTTTTTACTATTATAGTTTAAATTGAATGTTATGAAATAACTTATTTTAAATGTTTTTATATTTTCCTCAAAAACGTTGGTTAGGCATAAACTAAACAACTAAATATAAAAAAATTATAATAATAAAATACTAAAATCAAAATAATAATGCTTAAAAAAAATAAGAAGAACACAAAAAAATACCACAATATGCTGCTGATAGGAATATGCAAAGAAAAAGCACGCAAGAAAGAGCTGCAAAAGCCAAATAAAAGATGGGATTTCATTTATCCGAGTTGTTTTCACAAAATTCTAAATTTGCAAAACTTCTGCTAAATAGGATCAATTTTTCCTTATCAGAATCTTCAGCCCGACTTAATATGGAGCTAACTACAGGGATCGAACAAGCAAGTTTAGAATTTAAAAAAGAAACATACTTTTATCCTAATCAGTTCCAAAAGAAAAATGTGCATTCCAATCAAATCTATACAAATTTACAATTTAAAAAACTTTAATTGTTCTTAAGATTGAAGTTAATTTACACGAGGTACCCAAAATCCGATTTTTTTCGGATTTTAAAAATTTAAAAATAAACACAACCCATGGCTCCTAGATGACCAAAATATCTTTGATAATACCATATCCTAGATATAGTCCTGGTGAACCTAAATAACCGAATAACCTTGCAAAATGGGCAAAAATTTGCTCGATACATATGTATGCATGCTTTCTATTTTAGCCACCCCTTCTCCCTCTATGGTTCTTAGATGACCCATATATCCTTGGTCTTGCCATACCATTGATAGAGTCCTGGTGAACCTAAATGTCTAAATTCGTGCAAAATTTGCTCGGAAATGTGCCAGAAACATGAATGTATGCGGTTTTTTCAGCCGTACCAGCAGCAGCCCTTTCTCCCTCTATGGTTCCTAGATGACCCATATATCCTTGGTCTTACCATACCATTGATATAGTCCTAGTGAACCTAAAGTTCCAAATCCCAACAAAATTCTCTTAAAACTTTATCCACAATTAAATTAAGGTTTAAAAATTAACGGTTGCAAAATACCATTGCTCTGGGACCGGCCGTTAGCTTTCATTTTCAAACCAAAATTCAGCTGAAATACCAGGCGAACAGAAATGCCCAGCAGGTAGATGCACAAAAAATTTTAATTTAACAGACCACTGTTAATTAGCAGCTGTTAATAAACAGAGCACTGTTAACCAGCAGCTGCTTCTGTTACCTAACATACCACTGTTAACAGCTGCTGCTACAAAGGGGGCGTTAGATTTAAACGAAAATTTGGCAAAAATACCAGGCGAACAGAAATGCCCAGCAGGTAGATGCACAAAAAATTTTAATTTAACAGACCACTGTTAATTAGCAGCTGTTAGTAAACAGATCACTATTAACCAGCAGCTGCAGCTGTTACTGTTAACAGCTGCTGCTACAAAGGGGGCGTTAGATTTAAACGAAAATTTGGCAAAAATACCAGGCGAACAGAAATGCCCAGTAGGCAGATGAACTAAAATTTGTTTGAATGAAAAATTGCATTGCATAGCAATATTTCTGCACCGTTTTCGTGCGCATTTTGCAGGGATTTCGTGCTTTAGGTTCACCAGGACTATATCAATGGTATGGTATAACCAATGATATATGGGTCAACTGGGTACCATCGAGGGGGATGGAGCTATTTAAGGGGGGCGGCTGAAAGAAAAAGCATTCATATTTTTTGACCATTTCGGTCATTTAGGTTCACCAGGACGATATCTTTGGCATGGTACAACCAAGGATATATGGGTCATCTAGGAACCATCGGTTTTGATTGTTTGTGCGCCAGGGGGGCAGATATTACAAAAAAAACATAAAACAGCAGTTGTTCTTTTGAAAAACGAAATGGTCATATCCCGGCCAAATAAAGCCCGATCCTGGGCGCGCTGAACTCGTGGAGGTTAATAGGATTTACATTTATTTGGTAGTTGAGAATCATTTTATTTTATTTAGGAATTAATTTATCGGGGAAGTCTGCAAAATACGACAATCTGAAAAGATAAAAACATAAGAATAAAAAGTTATAGATAAGAAACAACTATGATTAAAACTTTCAATGGATGTAGGCCATTTAAAAATCGAAAATCGTACGCTTACGAGAAGAAGAAATGTAGAAACATTCATGTTTTGTTTTGCTAACTCAAATGCCACGCCTCTTTGCAGATTGTTTGATGTGGGCGGCCAGCGATCTGAGCGCAAGAAATGGATACATTGCTTTGAGGATGTGACAGCGATTATATTCTGCGTGGCGATGTCCGAATACGATCAGGTCTTGCATGAGGACGAAACTACGGTAAGTAAAAATAAAAGTTATTATTATTTGTACAAATCGAAACTAAGAGGAAAATTTCACTCGAATTAAACGCAGAACCGCATGCAAGAGTCCCTGAAACTGTTCGATTCCATTTGCAATAATAAATGGTTCACGGATACGTCGATTATACTGTTCCTGAACAAAAAGGATCTGTTCGAGGAGAAGATACGCAAGAGTCCGCTGACAATTTGCTTTCCCGAATACACAGGTAAGTGTACTTAGAATAAAGTGGAAGATTTCATATGATGCTAATTGATTTGTATTGCATTGAATTTAGGTGGCCAGGAGTATGGCGAGGCGGCTGCGTACATTCAGGCCCAATTCGAAGCGAAAAACAAATCAACCTCGAAAGAAATCTACTGCCACATGACGTGCGCCACAGACACCAACAACATTCAGTTTGTATTCGATGCTGTCACCGATGTCATCATAGCAAACAATCTGCGCGGCTGCGGCCTGTACTAAGACGTGATGGCGGGGCTAAACGGGAACCGTTACGGTATTAAAAAAACAAAACAAACAAAAACAAAAAACAGAAAAAATTTATGAAAAATAATAACAAAAACAAGAATAATACAGCGCGGGAGCACAACAACCCACCAGCATTGATCAAAAAAGCAAATGATGATAGAACCAACACAACAAACAAAACACACACACACACACACAAACACACACATACACACCAAGCAAAAGCAAAGCCCAAAGAACTTTTATTTGTTGTAACACACAAACACACACTCACTCCGAAGAGTATGAGAATCTGTATGTGCTTAAAATATGATTGAGAATGAGAGTTAGTTGATGGAGGCAGCTGACTAAAAGAGAAGAGTATAAAAAAACGTAAAACATTGACAGAAGCAGAAATTCAAGCATATTGAAGAGCATTTCCTATATTTGCTTTACATTTGCATCATGCAAAGCTACATGTATGACATGAAACGCACACACAACAAACACAACAAACACACACACGGACGCACAAACAAACGCATAACGCAAGCATTAATGCATAATATGTAGTTGTTGTTTGGTCTGAATAATTTTATAGAATTTCATAATTTATGTGTAGTTTAGTTTCTCGTGTATTTATTGAAACAAAAACTAAAAGAAAACAAAACAAAAAGCAAAAAACAAAAACAAACAAAAATTTAAACCAAATGAAAAGTAAAGAATTGAACAAAGTATATACATATAAATATATGTATACACATGTATAACGCATATATGCCGGCATCTAAGTATATAAATATTATATTATATATATATATTAAATGTTTCCTGTTGCAATCTCTTTGAAATTATTCATACCATCAACGCTGCATTTCTCATGCTTGTTTAGGCTTAAGTTCAAAGTTTACAAACTCTCTGCGCGAATTAAACATGCAACAAGAATAATAACAAACAAAGTCCCTGGGCAATGAATTAGCAGAATGCGTATAAATATTATTGAAAGAAAAGTAAAACAAAAACATAAACAACAAAAAAAAAACAAAAACACAAATTTAAAAATAATACTTAAAGCATAACGTAATGATAAAGCAAATGAACAAACCAAAAACAAAACAAAATTAACATGAAAAAAACGTAAAACTCTAATATGTAAGGCCTAATTTAATACAAAAAAAAAAAAAACAAAAACAAAACAAAAGAAAACCGGACAAAAATGAAAGGAAAACTCTCTTAACTATTTGTATTTACTATCAAAAATTGCGAACTCGATGCAGCCAGCCAGCCAGCCATAATTCGATTATATAGATCGATGTAAATTGTAATTTGTTGAAATTTGCGTGTGTGTGTGTATAGCATATATGCCATATACCATATATAGAAGGAATCGAGAATCGAGCTGAAGCAGCTACAAATCGCACGCACACACACACATACACACACACACACACACACACACACACAACGCACAAACACGCAAAGACGCGCACACACACACACACACACAGCCACACAAACTAACTTTAATTTTTGTACACTAATTTATTGTAATTAATATAATTTTGTTGCATTTATAAAGCCACATACGATTGTATCTTTTATAATATGTAATTCAATTCAAAACTTAAAACACAGAGAAACTCGCAATAGAAACTGAGAAATATAGGAAGGAAACGGGAGGAAAATCTCAACAAAAAAAGAAGAAAAAAAAACAAAATAGAAAACAGTTCATTGTAAAACGCATTGTATGTAATATTTATAAAGCATATACATACTATATATAATAATAATATTAATAATAATAATATTAATTGTAACATTTATTGTATTTAGTGAATGGCATTTAACACTGTGCGGTTGCAGCTGTTAATTTTGTTTAGACTTATTTATACACACTTATTAATGTATTTATGCATATGCAACTTCTTTAATGTATGTATGATTGTGCATTTTGATTTTACACAATGAATTTATAATTGTTATTTTATAGTATTTTTGTATATTATACAGCAGCTCTCTCTCCTCTCCTCTCCTCTCCTCTCTCTCTCTCTTTCTCTGTCTCTCTTCCTACGCTCCTCTCTACTCCCACTCTCTCTCTAGCTCCAAATTCCTTTCCCCCCCTTATATACTAGTATGTTTTTTGCAGTTTTGTGCTCTTGCTCTATGCGAAATCCATTTATGTTTTATAGTTTTTAAGCCTTATTTATGTAAAACACATGCAACACGCAACTTAAACAAAAACAACAAGTTAGTACGTTTATTAGCAAAATAAATATCATTTAACATTTTGAAAACAATTGACAAAGTATCTCATAAACCAAAATACACTTGATACAGAACAACAAAAACCAGTGTGTAAACTATGCAAAAGTTGTTGAACAACGCATTTTTTCGTAGATACTTGTGCAGTTACATTGTGTATCTACGAGATACGAGATACTTTTGTAGTTGAATGCCATATTATGAGCAGTTTTCTAAGCATACCTACCCCATGCCCATGCAATTTGACAACAACCGAAATTAAACAAACCCAAAAAACACTCCTTAAACCTATCCAAAAACCACAAAAAAAAACAACCACAACAAACACTGTAATATTTATCGTATGTACTTTCCATTCAAATTGTAAAATTCTACCAAAATACAAAAAAAAAATTTAAAAAAAATCATTTTCAAATAAAAACTATTTATTCAAAAACAAAACAAAACAGCCAAACTCTTTATTCTACACATTTCTCTTGCAGCTGGTTAAATGAGCTGCATTAAATTAGACAACTAATTTTATTGGATGCTGCTATTGTCCCAGGCAAGGCAAACACACACACACACACACACACACAATACCCGACACACAACACAACACAACACACACTCACAGCGCATTTTTACAAGCAAAAAGAAAGAGTATAAAGCAAACCGGTGTGAACTCTGCTAAGTTGACTAAACTGTATGTAATTATATATAAAAATTATGAATATATTTATTGAAAATTTAATTCAACCGAAAAAAAGAACAACAAATATTTGTAACTACAACTGATGTAATTTATAAACATAATAAAAAAGGGAAACTCACAAGAACTTATTCATTTAACTATTAAAATAAAAAAAACTAACAAATAAAACGAGCGATCTTTATATAAATAAAATATATATATACATACATATATATAGTGAGAACAACAAACATACACATATGTACTATATTTTTCTCGAAAATTATGTAACTAACTGCATAATCATGAAACATACAAACAAGACTTTCACTATTTTATTTTTTTAAATACTCATGCAAAATGACTATAATTTTTCTTCAAACTTAAGAATCATCTAGCTCAACTTTGTAACTCTACAAAATAAAAACTACAATTTACATAATACATAATAGTACATATACAAATAAACAAAATACAAAATACGTATGCATATACCATACTTCGTCAAAACAAAACAAAAAACAAATAATAATAAACATTTTTGCATATTTGCCATAAACAGAAAACAAAAAGTCAACTTTACATAAAGTAAATTAAAACTTCAACTCATATAGCAAACATATTTCATATTTTTCTAAAAAAACGCTCATACAACTTTTTGCTCCAATATGTAACACACACACACACACACCCACACACACACTCACAAAGGACGCACCACTACTACAGTGAAAAAAATTAACTATTACTTTAATAGCAGTTAAAATTTATAAGATGCAAAACCAACTTTGATTTGTGGAAAAATTTAAAAAAAAAACATACCATATATAATTATATACAAATTATAATAAACTTAAATGAGAAACAACTCAACGCATTGGAAATAACAACAAAAACAAAAAGAATGTTGAAGTTTGTAAAGAGCTGGTGGAGATTGGCTAGCGGAATATGGAACCAGAGTTTATAGGTAGACAAACTTTAGATGTTGTATCTAAATTTTTTAGCCCAATTCGAATTGCTTTTGTTGTTCACCTATAAACACAGTAAAGCAAATTATAATTTCCCATGTTTAATCTCTTTAACGAAGAGAACAACTTTTATCATATTTCTAATGTATTTTGTCCCATGAATTTACAATTTTATAAATTCAGAGCGAGCTAAACGAAGTACAGAAATCAACTTTTTGCATTCCTCGTGTACGAACTATGTATGAACCAAGCCCTTGAGCAGCAGTTTTTAAATGTGAAACGAGCAAGTAAGCAAATGAAAAAAGAAAACAAACATGTGAAGAAGATATAAACAAATTACTACTAACTTGACATAATAAAATCGAATCGTTGAATTACAAATTTAATATAAATTATAATTATAATACAAGAAAAACGATTACAAAATAAATGAAAAATAAACAAAACAAAATGTTTGTATGTAAAAGAAACTCAAAATGTTAGATCATCTAAAATTTAAATAAAAATTAAATTAAAAAACACACAAGCTTTGCACACATTTCCATTTGCCTTCTTTACCACAACACTTTTCGAACGAAGAGCTTGTGAATCTAAAGCACACAACATTTTTTCTAGTTTAAAGATCATTTCATTAATAAAGATTCTCTCTTCAAAGTATGATTCGACTGTAACCCAAAGACGTTGGATTTGTAGCAGCTCAGAACAGGACTATTAAGAGGCAATTACAGCTGTTCAGGATTGCCTCTCAATTTTATTAAAGACAGAGATCTATCCAGAAAATATATCCCCAAATAGTTCTATTCCGAAACATTAAATGGACTTACTCCAAGAATAACAATGTATTACATTGCAAAACGATTTGGGTCAAAATTTAGATTTTAATTTTTGATTTTTTGATGCCAATCGATAGTACTGATCCTTACGAGTCCAAAATGGTATAAAATTACCAAATTGGACATTATTTGGCCGAGATATTCCAAAAAATCATCAAAAAAGGTTGACGCTACAAGCAAGCGGTTTTCGGCCAACCACTTTTTTTAACACATCGATTTTTAAAATGTTTGAATGCCAATTGATAATATGGATCCTTACGAATTCAAAAAGGTATAACGTTTCAAAATCAGACGATATTTACCCGAGATATTCAAAAAAAATCATCAAAAACGTTTTGATTTTCGAACCGACCCCGATTTTGAAGAGAAACGTGATGTAACCCCTTGCCTTTTGGTCGATTTGGGTCAAAATTTACGTTTTCATATTTTTGATGCCCATCGATAGTACTGATCCTTACAACTCCAAAATGGTATAAAATTCAAAAATCGGACATTATTTGGCCGAGATATTCCACAAAATCATCAACAAATTTTAACTTAACAAAGCGAATCATTTTTGGACAACAGCTTTTTTTTAACCCTTCGACATCAATCAATTCCCTTAACACACTCGAGTGCTGAACGATATTTTCATTAAGGCTCTAACATTTGCACGTTGAATACGTTCACATGCGAATATGATTTAGCGTAATTCTATGTATAAAGATATCAAAATCACTTACCTTTTCGTATTCGCAAATAGCAGGACGATCGATGAGAATTCAAAGGCTTCCCCGAACATTTCACATTTTCCCGAGGCAGTTGTAAATGACGTATAAACTGGAATATAAAATCATCATTAGTGTTTTTTAAACGAGCATTCTTATATATTTATGCTTACAAAATTGAAATTCCCAATATCGCGATTTTTCGAGTTAATATCTAGTTAATATGTTTAGAAAGCGATTTAGATCTTGTCCTCAGCATCATTTTTTGGCAGATTTTTGTTTTAATTATAGTATATTCTTTTAATGTTTAATTAATTACTTTCAGGTAACCGATGTTAGCTGGCAACTGTTTTTACTAATTGCTGCAAACGTTGCTTTGCATTGGAATCAAACTTGCCCAGGCATTGCAGCTGCTCCTCATAGCTAACTTTCTCCAGTTGCAGTCCACGAATATTGTCCACGAATATTGTGTGAGCTAACGTAGAGACCACATTTGCTTCATAGATGCCATCGGGATGCAGTAGCTCAGCAATTGGCTGAATGTCGCTGTACTGCCATATCTCCTCGCCATTGTAGGGCACCAAGCCAATCAGACGCACATCCAGGGCCAATGGATCGATTTGCTGCCAAGTCAGCGGACAGACAAGCAGCACCGACACCTTCGCATGGCAGATGACCGTATTTAAGTCCAAATGCTTGACGCGCACAGTCATATTTTGATATTGCTGGGGAGTAGCAGAGTCAGCAGGTGGCACAAAAGTAACACACACACGCTCATACGAGTTGGCGGCTATTTGGCGCACACAAGTCTGCTGCAGCTCTTGAGGATTGGGTGCCACACAATGCTCCGGCATGGCATAATAGCTAATCAATTGTTGCTGCAACTCCGCATACTGTTGCTGCACAGGCAGCGTGTGCCACGAACTTTGAGCTGTTGCTCTATGTGCCACCAAACGCGCCGCAAAGTGGGAGGGTGTGCAGATCTGTAAGCAATATAGGGAAATTCATAATAATCCTGCAACTATAGGTTGATAGATTTCTAAATATAATTCTCATAATTTTAAATACTATACTCGAGTATAATTGGATTTCTCAGAAGAACATTTTGCTTATAAGACTCTCAAGTATATTTTTTTTAAATTCTTATCGTAGCCCTATATATTCTGGACTGTTCCAAATTTTATAATATGTCCAAACCTCGACTGCAATTTATTGATTTTATGAAAATGCTGGAGGATTTCGAGAAATAAACCTTATCAGCGTTTGATGTACGAGAATCCACATCAAAATTTGAAATCTATAGTTTCTATAGTCACTGAGATCGATGCGGTCATACAGAGGGATATAAAGACATACATGGCCATATTATATTAAATAGTCCAAGAATAATTATATATATATTGTGCTGGGCCAGGCTCCCTTCTGGCTAAGCCGACTATACTTATGAGTCAGGGTAAAACATAAGTATATTGTCAAACTATCCTCGAACATCTTGGTAGATATCAGTAACCCTTACGTAAGCCGCTAAGACTGGGTATTCACGCCTAAATGTTTGAGTTAACTAACATTCGCTGCGAAAGACGTTTAATTTGTAATTATCTCTGCGATGACCTTGTAGACGCCTCATCGACCTGGCCTTAACCCCGCCACCTAGGTACCTTTCACTAGTTCAGTTCTTGTCGTTTTTCTCCTGCTTAGTTTTCCAGAATATCATAAAAATTCCATCCTTTAACCCTCATAACCCTTTTTCGTGCTCGTTCACTTAGCTCACCTTGAGCAGCTGAAAGCGTATAAATCCCGCAGTTGGTACAGTCGCACAGCTCCTATCGACGTCTGCCAGCACATGACGATATTGGCAGGTAGGCGTCAGGCAATGGCCATGCAGCAACAACACCGGACAAATGACGCACTGACGCGCCACCAAGGACTGCAGCTGCGCATGCGTCGCAGCCAGCTTCTCATCGATGGGCTGGCCATGTTGCTGCATGAACTCCATCAGCTGAGGCAACATTCGTTGACTCTGCTTATTCAGCAGAATGAGGGACTGCAGCTGCTGCTGGTTTGTGGTGGACAAAAGTGCATTGGGTATTTGAGTTTTAAGGACAGCGAAACGCTTCCTAAACTGACTCCAAGTGGACGGCATGTTGAAGTGTATGAGAGACTGAACGTTGTCCACAAGCAACTCGGGCGCATGTGCGCGCAGCAACAATATTTGGCCCGTGTTCTATGAAAATAAAAAAATATATTCAATCGGTTAAAGTTTTATTAGCCATTTGTTATTTACCTGCCGCTGCCAGCGGTCCAGGCGCGGTTTATCACCTCGTCCGCGATGCAAAATGCAATCATCCTTGGGCAGTTGCTGTTGTAGCTCCTGGAAATCCGTTTCACTGGCGCAGTAAATCAGCGTGCGTTGTTTTTTATATGGCTGCTGCTGCAGGTAGTCCATTAGCTGCTGCATCTGCTGTGCCCCGCTGTTGCCCAGCTCCACTTGCAGTTGCAGGCCACCATAGACGGCTGCCTCCAGCGCTTCCTGCAGCAGCACCAGCGGCTGCTTGGCGTGCTGCAAAAGTTGTTGCATTTCTGCAGCCAGCCATAGTCGCGAGGTCACCACGAGTTGCGGCTTGCTGCACAGCTGCCAGAGCGCCAACTCGAGCGCCTGAAAGCAGCTGCCGCCATAAGCCTGCAGCCGGTCCAGCTCGTCGAAGACAATACAGTCCAAATGCGCGTCTGTTAGCAGCTGAGGCGTCTGTGTCATCAAAGCGCTTAACTCCGCTGTGGTCGCAATCAACAAGCAGCTTCGCTTGGACAGTAGCTGGGCTGCTGCCTCCGACTCTTCTGCCGCACAAATAAGGTCCTGTCGGCTGTCCAACTGCTTCTCAAATTGCGCGCGCAGCTGCAACAAACGTTTGCGCGTAGCCACCAGCACAAGGATCATATGCTGCTGTCTGCTGCTGTCGAGCTTGTATAGCTGGCAAAGTGGCTGCACGTACTCGTCCAACGGGCGCTTGGCTGCATCGATTAGCAGCAGTGAATCCCCGGCAAGTATTTGTGTGGTGAGCACATTCTGCTTGGAACTGCTAACCGCCTGCTGTGCATGTGCCAGACTAAATGCATGGTTGTCCATCTGGAAGGCAGGAAAGTCATAATCGTGCTGTGTCATCAACTTTCATCTGTTACCGTCTGTGTGTGTGCGTTTTATTTAAATATAATAATGGATATAAATGTGTTAAGGCTAAGCTAAATCTGTCGTATTCTAAACAATTCTACTCTAAAAGTTTCTTTTTGGACTTGGGCGTCGAAATGGTGCGCAAGGATACGCGTCGTGGCGTCTTGGCGTTCGGCGTGGCAATCGACGTCGTAGCCGTTGCAACGGGCGCGACGGGTGCTGCTGCCTTGACTGGCGTGCCCGTCTCCTCTTGGGTATCCTCGTAGACCAGGCGTATATCCTCGGTGCGCTCACAAGTCGCCTCGCTGATGGCCAACTGCGTCTCTTTGTCCTTTTTCGCGTCCGCCTCTTTGCTGGGCGATTTCTCCTTTGTAGACGCTGGCAGCGGACTTATGCCATCCATGGCCAGCGGCCAAGCGTCCATGGCTTCCTCGACGACCATGGGCGCATTCACGACAGGCGCTTCGATGAGGACGCGCGGTGTGCGTCGCACAGCAATGGGCGTGGCATGTTTGGCGGGCAGTGATTGGGGCGTTTGCGTGTTGTTGTTGCTGCTGCTGCTGCCCGGCGTTCGCGGCTGTCTGCGCACCTGTATGGGCGTGGCTGG